GAGGAGGATAAGGATGTGAACAGAGGAAGACGAAGGGAGGAGGATGAGAGGAATGAAGCGGAGGAGTGGGGAATGTGAGAGCCTGCAGCTGTCCCACCACTCTGCAAAGTTTGGCACCAATATATAGGAGATGTGGGGGAAAAAACATGAAGGGAGGAATATGGGTCAGACAACACCTTAGTGAGAGCTCTCAAAAGCACAGTATCAACCCACGCTATATGGATTGAACTTTGCCTTTTATTTTGGTACAGACCTATTCCTAAAATTAGGTTTGGGCAGTATTCATGCCTAGAGTGGCCTAATCTCTACCAAACTTCCAAAATTCCTTCTCTAAGACAGTCACAGATGGCCGGTGTTCTTTTCATTTTTCCACTGTACGGGACACCTTCATAATCTCAAAGGCTGTAGCACAGTATCTGTAAAACCTACAGTAGAGCAACAAAAACAAAATACACTGGGAAAGTAATACACAAGTGGAGAGTGGCAGAGGGACAGGCAGAGCACAAGAGACTAGATATACTCAGAATGAAGGCAAATATTACAATGAACACCCAGTTAGAAAAAGGATAGCCATCGGTGTGTGTGTGTGTCTGCAAGTTGGCGCTGCAGATACAGGACAGTCAGTTGGACTGTCTTATATCTGTCTCCAAAAATCAGTGGCTGCAAGTCAGTGTCATGCTGCCATCTTTCTTAGATCCAATGGCAGATGGTTAGAGAAGGCAACAATTTCCATGGGCCACATTAATGAGGAGACATTTAGCAGGCGATGCTCCTGAGGAACATGGCCATTACCTAAAGGGTACAGGATGCTGGTGAAACAATCACAAAACCTACTCCGTCTCCCATCATTGTAACTTATTGGGACATAAAAGGTCCCTCAGTCACTCCAGATCAGCTCTGGTCAGTAGACTTGTACATTTGAGATCAAAGGTCACCTTTCATGGTCTTCACACTCGGACTGCAAGAGGAGGCTGAGGTCAAGATAAAGGCAACACTGGATAACTTCAAGCTTTGTGCTATATGAGGGGAGCCCAAGGTTAATGTATGACAACTGTCTTATTCAAAATCCAGAAATGTTATTTTTGTCTGCTGACAACACATTTGCTTTTGGAAAATTTCCACAAGAAAGCCCCAGTGTTTATAATGTAACTGCAGTCAGTATAGTGGCATCAGACAGAAAGAAGAAGAAGCCCTCTTTATTTTTGTTTCTGTTCTCCAAAAGCTTAAGTTGAATCTCTGGATAGGGTACTGATCTTTTTTAACCCTTTGGGTTTTTGTCTCCTTTTTTCTTGAGAAATGTTCTTGCAGCACATTTGCAACTTGTTTGAATGTGTGGAACTTAACATTTGTATTGCAAAACATGCTTTCTAGCTCTTGAGGTTACACTCAATGAACAAAGCAATGCTTTTTTTTGTTGTGGTAAAATGTGGAGCTCTTCATATTAGGATGTGATGATAAAGGGTCTTTTAGAGACTGTACCCACTTCCTGCCTGGTCTTCACTGGGTTGTTCTTCTGCATCTTCATGTTAGTTATATGAGTAGCATGGACACAAACATCCCCTTGTTGGGAACATAACCCGTGAATTAGCGCTACCATATACAGTTTCCCAGTGCTCCTATACTGTAGACAACAAGAGCTTGGATGGATCCCGCTGATGTGGTGATGTATTAGATAAGGTTTATTAGTGGAAGTGAGGGGAAGTATTGAAATGGAGCAACAAATTCAGTAAGTTAGACAAAGTGTGAAGGTTACTTTTTAACCTGAGTTATAATTGTTTTGTGTTTTACAGATGGAAAAATTTGATAATATTGATGTTCTTTTGTCCTGAATGTGCTTCACATATTTTTCTTAAAACACTCAAATGGTATGAATTGGAACAGGTATATCAGTTGAGGAGCTTTTAAATTTGATATATAAAGACAGTTCTAAAAAATGAAGCTTAGTATTATGTTAACTCCTGTGTTAACATACATGGAGAACAACATTTTGTCAGATCTACATTGTTTTTTGTTGTTGCATTGTGTTCCTTAATAACAGCACTGCACCACTTTTTGTATCAGTCATGTTTTTCGGTGTTAGTGTGATGATGGAGGCCAAAGGTGAAGGTGAAATATGCCAAAGCATGGACATAGAAGCAAAAGGAGGGATCATGCAGAGACTGGTTGCTAGGGAGGGTCGTTGTTGTAGCAGAGGCAGGAAAACATCAAACTCGGTATTAGCACCTCCATTAAACTACAGCAGTGGAACAGATGAAGTGCATCAAACAAATCAAGATGGATCATTTTGTAATATGTCGTTGTAATTTTATTACGCTTTAATTTAATGTAATCACTTTTATTGTCCAAGTATGTTACGCACACACAGAATCTGTCTCTGGTACAGAAACGCAGCAGCCATCTGCAGCGCCAACTCGTGCACACACACCGATGGTGGCACTGACCTGGCCATTGGAAGCAACTTGGGGTTCAATGGTCTTGTCCAAGGACCCTTCAACATGTATATTGGGGAGAACAAAAATGAAACCACTGACCTTCCACTTAAGGGACGATCATTCCACCTCCTGAGCCACAGCTCCCCGAGGCAAATATTTTAACACATTTTACATGCTATAATCCACAGTGAGACATTGCCGATAAAGATAAAATCCTTTGATACATTGACCAAATTCTTCAGTTGTTGGTCTCACTGTTGACTTCATAATTGAAACACTTGACACAGAAGTGCCTCATCTGGTGTTAGATTGATCTGTTAGCCATGGGAATGCTAATCTATTTGAATAGCTTGGCTTTTGGGGTTAAAGACTGAGGCACAGACTTTTGTTTTGGCATGAGGAGCTGAGTTTTATGGTTAATGTGCTAATGCCTGCATGAAGTCAGCTCATCGCTGTGGGTCAGTTCACCTGGGGTAAAACTACAGTGAAGGCGAAGGACAAACTCTGTGGTGACTTCTGCTGTTTATTTGTTCTTTCTAGGGGTTTTGTGTATCAAGTCAACATGTTCCAACAGTTGCCCTTGTTGTTAAGATAAATTTTAAATAGTTCCATATTAGTATAATCTTATCGAAAGCAGGGGGTGCAGTATATTTGTTTTTTTTTTATTTCGTGTTTTGCTATTTGCTAGACCTTAACTCTGTCACTGGAATTTAAAATAACTGTGGTGTTTGTTTTGAAATACCAAACAATGATCTTCAAGGCTTAAGAATGCTCCACACTGTAGAGGCACTCAGGCCAGTACTGCAAGTATACATGTGCACAAATACACTCTCTCAAAACCCATGGAAAGGAAGAGGATAGAGGTGTTACTGAATGTGTTGATGGGCTCTCTGTTTTCCATGAATGAATGTAAGCATTTAGCATCTCAGCAGTAGCATGGCAGACTCTGATTTATACTGCCAACTGAATTTCCTGCTTTTGTGAGTGAGAATTAAATGCCAGTTCGTACTTTTGTGTGTTTGTATGTACATTGTGAGGACCAGCTTGATTTTTATACCATGGAAGTGAGGACATTTTGGTTGGTTCTCACTTTGTGACACACCTTTAAAGGGTTGTCTCAGGATTAAGACTTGGGTTTAGGTTAGGCGTGTACTTGTGATGGCTAAGGTTAGGCTAGGGAATGGAACTACAGAGTGCATTATGTCACTGAGTGTCCTCACACAGACAGCTGTAAAAACACATGTGGGTGTGTATGTGTAGACCTTCCTTCTTCCAAATGAGCTGGTTCTACAGGCTTGTACCATGCCATACTGGTCCCACTGCTAACGTCTTTTTGAGCTTGTACCAATCTTTCCAGTTGGTGCCTGTCTCTCCACTTGCACATACCTA